TTAATGCTGCATATGATAACCGCAGCAAGATTAGGGTTGACTCAGCCTTCCATCCTTCCGAGGTGGGTAAAATGAGGACCCAGATTGTTGGGGGCAATATGCTGACTCTCTGTAAACCGCTTAGAGAGGCCTGAAAGGCCTATGAAGCGGTATATAAGTCTACTGCTATTGCTATTGCTATTGATTAAATGAGAGCAAGGCACAGAAAACAGTTGCACCATGAAAATTCAGTTTTAAATATTCAATATAATAAAAATTGTTGATGGAGGAAGATAGGCTCCTTTCTTACCATTTGTCGTGCTTTTCTAACCTCCAAATCAGAACTTGGACATAGCTGGAGAAAACCTGGGGCATAGTTATATCTTCCTTTTAGCCATATTTGAAAAAAATAATATCAGTGCAACTTAAAAATAAATATGCTAATATTAGAAGGGATTTGTTTTAATATTTCAAGAAGAATCAGCTAACAATGAACCAATCAAAACTATATTTAAATAACATGATACATGTATATACATACATATCAACATCACGGATTACAAGGAAGTGAAATGAAGAAAAAAAGATTTGTTTAGTCATGAAGAGCCAATTAGGAATGATGAGGAATATACCCAGTGCTTTGTTCATTCATGAATAACACAATACTTTATCTATTTAGTGTAAAATGGAGGCAACTGTCTTACCTATGACTGCTTGTCTGTAAGCATCTCTGAAGCGGTTTAAGTAGTATCTATTTGCAGAGTTAACACCATCTTTCATAACTCCTGCCAGCTTCCTTTCACCAGTCCTTGTGAAGTCACCCTATTATATAAAATGTATCTCTGAATATTCAATGTGCAATTTAGATATCATTTAGAAAAAGTTCTTCTTTCAATATTGAATAGCTCTGCAGCTTCACTTTTTGGCTTCCAAAACATTCCTCAAATTGGGTTGCCCTGTTAACAAAAATTAGTGCTGGAAAGGAATGTGTTAAAGTTCTTCAAACCCAAATATATCCCTATCTACCCTGAAAACAGCACCACCAGCCCACAAATTCTCCAAATAATCAATATAAAACATAAATGCACAGTGGCTATATTCACACAACATATTTAAGCAAGCCAATTTTAGAACAAGATATTGCAAATGTAAACACTAGAATGAACAACTATGATTTCTTTGCATGTATAGTCATCAGAACATATTACATGTTCAATATTTTATGCAAACAAGGAAAAAAGAGTAAGTCTGGTAAATAAGCACATTCAATATAAAAATGAATAATCTTTGCTAGATTCACATAGAATGCTAAATCATATTGTTTTAAGGTTTGTTTTATTTTGGTTTAGTATTTTAGGAAACCAAGCCAATTGAATTAATAAATCATAATTTCTGCTTTTGTGTAATGTATAAACACAGCCCTTCTATATTCCTATTGACTTTGGTATATGACTCATTTTGCTTTTATGCAATAAAATGAAAAAAAATCTTTTGCAAAAGAAAGTAACAAAAATTATAAACGCTGAACTGAAATTGTGCAAAACAATTTGTCTAATGTGCCGTATAGCACAGACAGGGCTGAGTCTTTTATCCATATATTTATGAAACATTGTACATTCAAAATATAAGACAATACATGCTTATTCATGAAGAATGTTCTTTCCTTTTCTTTTTATCAAAAGAAAAATATTTACCTTTAAAGCTGCTGTTCCAGCATATTGCCTGCTTATGGCATCACCGTTGTTAGCCCATATGATCTGATAAATTCTATTGCATTTCACTGGCAATGCTTGTTCTGGGGGCATCACTCCTAATTTTTTTAGCTGAAATTTAAAAGTATTTATTATTAATGGTCATTTGTTTTATTGAAAACTATAAAATGAAAAATAAAATGAAAACTTCCAACCAGTCTTCTCTTATCCAATTACATCCAAATATATCAGGTAACAATTCGCTTTACGTGATAAAAGTTATAGTTTAATATATAGAGAGGGCACCAAGTGGAGGAAAGCTTTCTGTGCTCTTGTAACAATTTTTAGATGAAATCTTCCAAACGATCCTTACTATACTATTTTCTAGAAATAATGAGATCCTGTTACTGAAAATGTGTATTCACTGCAAGTTCCTTATTCGTTTTCCTCTTTAATAGGGGACTTTGTACTTAATTTGCATGGCCAGGCTAAAATCAAAAAGGGAATTTTAATTCATTTACTGAAAAGCGTCAGTGTAAAGGTACATTTAAATTTTGAACTTTAGCATTATCTATACAACTTCTAGAAAAAAAAATTCCAGCACTACTATAGCTATTTTTCTTCAGTAAGTTCAACTCTTCTATAAGAATTATTCGGAAGCAATTTAAAGATAAGCAGACTTTCCCAAATCCCTTTACTAAGTGTTTTCTTTAAGGGCAATCACTATAGTTTACATTGTTGTACCTGCTGTTCCATAACGGCGCGAGCAATTGCTGCTTGAACAACATTGGTTCGATCCAGACAATCCATACAGTTAACACGGAAAATTCCTTCCTGTTTACAAATTACACCAGCTTGGTCCACCCTTCCAAAAAAGCGACATAAAATAATTGAAAAACTTTTATTTAAATGGCTATTCTCTACATGCACACACATACACGCGTGCGCGCGCGCACACACACACACAGGGGTACTTAACTGCTTGGAAACTCATTGAGTTTGGTATTCAACACATTTTGTCATTCGGTTTGGCACTCAATGCACAAGTCGGAACTACTTTGTGATTTCATATTATTTCTTATGGGATAATTTTTTTTGGTACTCATTGTTTTTGGTTTTCATCATATCTCCCAGAACCAATCAACAATGAGTAAGTACCACAGCATATATTTATATTCTTATTGTATAATATAAAACAGTTTTTGGTGCTTACATACAGTCTGTTACTCATACTGTTAATCATATCAAGCCCCAACAAATCTGTGTTTGCAGAATCTCTCATCTACATGGAAAACTCCGGCCCTTTGGAACGAACTCCCCGCGGAGATTCGGACCCTCACCTCTCTCCAGGCCTTCCGGAAAGCCATCAAAACCTGGCTGTGACAGCAGGCCTGGGGGTGATGAGTTCCCCTCCCCTCTCGACTTGTATGGCTGTATGACTCTTGTGTATTTTAATTAC